AGCCCCTGGGCTGGAGAAGGTTAGGGGAGGGGGGGGGGGGGGGGGGGGGGTGGCCTTGCTGGGGAAAGTATGTCACTGAGGGGGACTTTGAGAGTTTGAAGACTCATGCTGTTTCTAGTTCGCTCTCTCTCTGCTTCCTGCTTGCCGTTCAAAATGTGAGCTCTCCATTGCTCCAGCCAGCAGCCCGCTGCCCCTATAAACCCTCCCTTCCCTAAGTTGCCTTCATCGTGGTGTTTTATCACAGCAACAGAAAAGTAACTAAGACAGAGGACTTGAGAAAGTCATTAAGAATTGCCTGCCGGTTGTGGTGGCGCGCACTGGTAGGATTTGCTGAAGGAGGCAGAGGCAGCAGGGTCTTGAGTTCGAGGCCAGCCTGGACTACACATTTTGTTAATCCCAGCACTCTGGAGGCAGAGGCAGGTGGATCTCTGTGAATTCGAGGCCAGCCTGGACTACCAAGTGAGTTCCAGGAAAAGGCGCAAAGCTACACAGAGAAACCCTGTCTCGAAAAACCAAAAAAAAAAAAAAAGAATTGCCAAGTAGGTGATTCAGGGACAGGGTGGAGTGGGATCTAAAATACAGAGAGGGCAAGGCATCCTAGGGTGTTGAGGACCACTGCATGGCCCCCAACGGGCCAATCTGTCTACACAAACATAGGGGAAATTTGGCTGTGCCAGTGCCTCTGTGAAGGGTAGACTGTTGAAGGGCCTGAACCTCTGAGCCTTCCTCCACTTGGCAGACAGCCAATGCTCAGGTGTGTCCTGCACCTTGACTTTGAATACAGTGGGATGGGAAAGCAAGGCTTCCTGTTGTATGCCACTGAGGTTTCCTGGCTGGTTCTTACGCAGCAACACCTGACTGATACAGCTAACCACAAAAGTCCTTCGTTTTACTCATTCAGGAAACACTCGTGAGCCAGGTGTTTTGACGGTGGCTGATGGCCACAGGCCAGGATTTCAGAGTCACCGATTTCAAGACTGAACATGTTCCAGTCACGGGGTCTGAGTGTTGTAACTGCACAGATGTTGTTTCCTCTCCTGTTGCTGTGGCGAAATGCCAGGCAGAAGCAACTTAAGGGAGGAAGAACATATTTTGGCTCACAGCTTGAGGGTTCACAGTCCATCATGGTGGGTAAGATATGGTGACAGGAGCATGAGGCCTCTGGTCACACTGTGCCTGTGGTCAGGAAGCAGAGAGAGCTAAATGCTGGTGCTCAGCCCGCTGTCTCTTTTTTATTCACTACAAGCCCCCAGCCATGGGATGGTGCCACATTTTGAGTATCTTCCTACCTCACCAGACCTTATTGAGATTTCTATCTGATACATGTAGCATGAATAAAATCAAACCTGTGACAGGTATTGGGGTGAACACTGGAAGAACAGAGAGACAGAACAAGCCACAGCTACCTCACCTGGCCAACTTCTCAGCTGATCCTGTTTCCTCAGACTGGAAGCCTCTGTGTCCTCATATCCCAATGGCTCTCAGCTGAACTGTGCTGCTCAAAACCTGAAAGCTTAACCATCAAAAGCTCAACCAGCCAAATGCTTCTAATTTCTGGTCCTCACGCCTTATATACCTTTCTGCTTTCTACCACCACTCCCTGGGATTAAAGGCATGAGTCACCATGCTTGGCTGTATCCTTGAACACATGGATTTCTGCCTCTGGAATGCTAGGATTAAAGGCGTGTGCTACCACTGCCTATCCTAAGTATCTAGTGGCCTTTCTGTTCTCTGACCCCAGGTAAGTTTATTAGGGTACACAATATTTTGGGGAACACAATACCACCACAGACACATCTGGAGATTTATTTCTGTGGTGATTCTAAGTCCCATCAAGTACAGAGCCAGGACTAACCATGACAACAGGCAAATCAGCGTACACAAGGGGCATCTGTCCCCTGACTCACAGAAAGAAAGCCAAGCCCAGAAACTGGACATTGTCCTCCAAAATTGATGGGTGGGAGTGTACACGTCATTTCTCAACCGACCAGTGGGGAGGACCGGTGGCCACCACCACCACACAACTGATGGGTGAAACACTGGTGGGCAACTCAGATGGAGTCTCTCGTCTCACCTGGACTTGAAGACAGACAGAAGTAAGGTAGGGAGACTCCCAGGGCACGGGGCATTGTGGCTGAGCACCAAAGGTTGGAGAGTTTTGGATGTGGGGAGGTTGGTACTTGGGGCAGGCAAGGAGGCGGAAATACTCAATTCTCTCCATGTATCATTGGAAGTTAGAATGGAAGACAGAGGGGCAGGTGAGTGGGGGAGGGGCTCTCAAGTGGTCCAAGCAGGAAGGAGTTGGCATGGCAACCAGAGAGGGTTAAACTGGATCCTGGCAGGGAATTAGGGGGAAGTTTGAGCAGGGCAGCACAGAGTTTCCATTTGGAAGTTTTAGAAAGATGGGATGCAAGGAAGCCAGGATGATGGGTGAGGACCTAGGAGAGGAGGAATGTTGCCACCCAGAGAATGTGGAGAAAGAGATGGATGACTCAGCTCCAAGGATGCCAGCATCTGACCGTGGTGCTTCTGTAAGCTCCGGCCACCCCGCTCCTTTTGTTTATTTCATACGATCGTTTATTTCATGCATTGTTAATCAATTCGCAGAGAATCAGCTCAGAGAGGCTGGTTGAGTGTCTCCAGGTCTCACTGCAGGTGAACTTAGGGCTTGGGACTCGAATTTGGGGCGCGGATGTGGACAGGAAGCTCACCCCACACGCCCACTGCTTTTTGCAGGTCCTACGACTCATCTACCAGCAAAGCCCTCACTGTGCCTAGGCTCCGAGCTGAGCGGCTGAGTGTGAATTCTCCGAGATGTCCCGACCCCAGAGGACAGAGCTCCCGTGATCAGGAGGAGAAAGCTGGGGCCCTGTCGGGGCTGACTCTGGTGCCAAGCTACCAGGGATATCGCCAAGGCTGAAGGCTGCAGAGGGGCTAAAAGTGACAGCGTGGCTTCACCTGGCCTGATTCCACCGTGAAACTTTGGTGAGCAATTGGCCTCTTTGGGCCTCAGTTTCCCCAATCTCCCCGCCAGCCTCCCTCTTAAGCCTCCTTCTGAACAAGCTATTCTGGTATTCCAGCCATGATGAGGCACCTGTAAGTGACAGGAAGATTTCCTCTCAGGCATGGGACACAGAGCTCTGCCTCTTCCCATCCCCTGTCTGCAGGCCCCACGGGTCCCAGCATGTGAAGCCATGGCTACATCCGAGCCCTCTCCACTGTGCTAACAGAGCTGCCCCCTCCCCTCCCCTCCCCGCCTCCTCTGCTGTTTACACACCGTGCGTGAATCAGCTCACATTTGCTCCAGCCTCGCGTGAAACCTGGTCTGTTTCTTCTCGCTTTTTTTTTTCAAAGTGGGTTTGAACCTGTAATTCGGTTAATTATTTCCCAGAGCAGTGGTTTGGCGGGTTTGGCCCAGCATGAGGAAGAAGCATAGAGATAGGTCCTGGGAAACCTCTCTCCAGAAAATCTAATTTCATCATTGAGAAATCTTCTGTCTTAAGCAGCCCCCGCCACCACCATAAATTTACATATTCTATATGCCTGCAGAACGGAGTGGGTCCCATTTGCATAATGCTGCTGAAGGGGCTGGTGTGCCTCTTGAACCCTAATGCAGCGGGAGCGGGGAGCTGTTATTAAGCTGTAGACACTGGCAGGCGTGAGACCCTGATGGATTTCCACGCCAGCCTCATCCTGCCCGGCTGCTCGTTACCTAAGACCAGGGTCCCAGGCTGCTCATGGATCCAGGGCTGGGGACAGTCAGTTAGCTGGCTCTCAGGAGAAGCCTGCAGGCTGGTGGGGAGCGAGCAGCTTTGCATTTCTGTGCGGATGGCAGGAACAGTGACGGACTTGTGTTTCTGGGTAGTTTCGTGGCATTGCTTTTTGCCCAGGCATCATGCCTCTCTCTCCCAGCAACTTGCCTGCAGCCCACTGCTAGAGGCTCTGGGGAATGCTGTGTTCATCGGATGGATGCTCGGAGTGGCACTTCACCAAGTTCAGGTTGGAGACTGGCGCTCGGGCATAGGCATTCTCTCCAGTCCCTTCCTGTAACTGGCTTCTCACAGGCTGCATTGTTGGGAAGCCACATCGTCACTGGTCCTGCAAAGCAGGTCTGTGTTCTTGGGTTCAGGATCTTTACATGGGGTCATTTGGTATCCTGGAAACCACAGGATGTCATTTCCACTCTTCCACAGCTGCAGGCCTGCATGTGACTCTGAGACCTTGGAAAGGTATGGTGAGGCCTGACGACTCTGGCCACCCGTGAGGTTTTTTTCCAGTGCTTGGACTCATGCTTGGTGTCTTTGCCAAGGACATCTGTGAGCACAGGTTTTTTTGAAATTTTGTGGTCCTTTTTGTTGTTGTTGTTGATATTTCTCTCTGTCTCTGTGTGTCTCTGTCTCTCTCTGTCTCTGTCACTCTCTCTCTCTTCCTCTCAAGTCAGAGTGTCACGATGTAGCCCAGGCTGTCCTTAAACTGCGATCCTCCTGCCTTAGTCTCCCCACACTAGGATGGAAAGCTAATTGAGCTACTTGACATCTTTAAATCAAGTTAATTCATGAACCGTCTCTTCAGAGCCCACCTGTCCTACTTCCCAGGCAAAAGCACGATGCAGCCCTTGCTGAGTGCCAGACAGGCTTAATAAACCCATCGTCAGAATGGGACAGAACTGGCGACCTGTGTGGTCACCAGGCTTTATGTCTGGTGGTTAGTAATGGATCCTGTCCCTTTAATTCCCTCAAACCAATGTCTTTTGTTTTCAGGGAGCTGATGCTCATGGTGGGTTGGATGGGGCCTTCAGGGTTGCTCAGTGCCAGCCCTCAACAGTGAGGCACTTGTTAGCTCACAGGTGTGCTAGGGATACTGTGACACAGGTGTGCTAAGAGCCATCACACAGGTGTGCTAAGGGTCATCACTCAGGTGTGCTAAGGGTCATCACACAGGTGTGCTAAGGGTCATCACACAGGTGTGTTAAGGGTCATCACACAGGTGTGCTAAGGGCCATCACACAGGTGTGCTAAGGGTCATCACACAGATGTGCTAAGGGT